GGAATGTCGGACTAGGGAAAAAGACACCATGCTATTTGTGTCACATGAAAGACAAAGCAGTCCACCAAACAATCATCAGTTACGTTGGTGCAGTGAACCTAGCATACATATCAAAAACAGCTTTGAGATTTAGTAGCATATAAAGAACACTGTTCCAACAAGGGAACAGTCGGTGTGTTTGCTTTTATAAAATGTTTTCTATGGAAATTCTTTTCTGAAGAAAGGGTGTAAGATCCACATAGCTTGAAGTGAAAAGCGAGAAGTGAAGCACAAGCTTTTTGAAATGAAGCGCACAATTTACAGAATATAAAAGATATCAAACATATATGGATTTAGCACTATATTAATCAAATTGCAATTAAATACCTAATATCACCATCTAATACACATTAATGCTAATTTTGATCCAACTCTTCAAAGTTGAGATTTAAAGAAACGACCGCTTCTCATTGGGATCACCTTACACATCATTGTCTGAAGTGGACAATTCTCTGAAGACCCATGAAGTGATAACTCCTCACTTCATATCGTTTCGTCGCCCTAAGTGATGAAGCAATGGCTTTTAGGAACATTGCAGCTACTAATACAAAAAGTATAATGTGGAGGATGGGCACAATGATGGTACTTTAATGAATATCAGAGTATTGAACGCTGCGAACCATGTTTACATGTTGGTTGAAGCAAGTGAGCAGAGCAATAATTAAGATATCAATATTATCCCTTCCACTTAGATACTTCTTAGATGGAATGAGTGGCTACATTCCCAAAACACTCCCAAAAAGAAACACTCAAACAAAAGGCAATGATGAAGAAAATAGTTAAGATAGACAACAATAATATCAAAATTGAACGCCATGGTTTATTCTTGAACTGTTTCTCAGAACGTGCCAAGTTCCAACTTTCCAGAAATAGAACATATAACCATTTTTTATCTGACATTGCTGAATAATATGTAACAAACTTTACACTACCTAGAAGGTTATAGAAAAGAGAACTGAAAAAGGATTAGCATTTCCACATAAACATGAAGAGATAAAGAGAGACAAAAGAGAGAATAGGTACATGCATGATGTTCGGGTTGGCCAAATCTTTCTTATTGAGCGCAATCACCCGCTTTTTTTCAGAAAGCATAGGCTGCAAGTCGTCATTGGCTGAGGACAAAGGTATCTGCATAAACCACAAAAGCAAGATCAGCTTGGTTTAAATTCTAACTTAACTACTCACCCAACTAAGTTTCAATTCCAAACAATTTGAGGTCGACCGTATGAATCCTTTACTCCGCTCTATATTTTTTTGTTAGATAACCATTCCGCTCCTTTTCAATCCATTTCACTACAATACTAAGCTAGTAATTATCTTTCAACTACTTGAGGTCGACTATATGAATCCTCTTTGTAATCATTCTACTCTTTTTGGTCCAATTCATTACAATACTAAACTAATTATATTCAAAGCAAAGTTTTTTACATTTTTTAGTTTTTTGTATCTTTTGGGCAAATTACTTACCCTTTTCTCAAAAAAGGAATTTAAAAAACATCTTTCGGGCAAATTAGGATTTCTCTAAAATTACTTCTAACTTTACCACTATTTTATATTAAGTCCAGCTATCTACCTCTTTATAAAGCTAAAATCCACATTTTCTAGGGAAAGTAATTAACATAAAGCTGACTCTTCAACAATGCTTATTCAATTCATGTGGCATACTTTCTTTTTTAGTCTGTCCCAAAAAAGAAAACTTTCTATATTGAGAAATAATTTAACATTGAAACTAGTGTCTACGGGGGGTAGTATTTAAAATCAGCTTCACTGTCAGCTAGTGTCTAGTAATCACGCACAAAAATCAATTCTTTTTAGCTAAAATTCACATAATTTTCCACACAAAAAAAACGTGATTAGTATAGAATTGAATATTGAAACTTACGCGGGCGTCACGGACTTCAATGACAAGATCGGAGAGTTTGAGGCGGCGGCTAATGGCGCGAGTGGCAGCAGCCATATGGCCAGGGAACCAATTTATTTTTCCGCCACTTTTATTGAACCCCATTTCCCCTAAGCATCCTTTCATCTTCACTATGTGTGTGTGTGTGTGTGTGTGTGTGTGAGAGAGAGAGAGAGAGAGAGAGAGAGAGAGCTTAAACCCTGAATTAGGGGACTCCAGAAATGTGAGAAACTCTGTTTCAGTCTCTGTTTACGGGGAAGTGCACAAATAGCCGATTTCAAAGTCACCTTTAAAATATAATCAACTTTTAAAAGTTATTTAACATTTAGCCACTTTATAATGGGTAGGTGCAAAAACAGCCGTTCTTAGGGATGCTATGAACGCTATTTAGATATTGGCGGTACTTATTTTATGCTTAAATATTGAACTAAAATTTTTAATTTTGGAACAATTCAGAATATTTTTGTCCCGGAAAGTTGAATTAAAAAATTAAAATTCAGGATTCATTGGCTAATTTTTAAATATTAGCCCTTTAGAATGGCTATTTGGGTCATTTCTACACTTTATAAATAATTAATATTTCAACATAAATATCCTAAGGCTGTTAAAAATTGTGCCTGAAGTTCAGTCGACAACCAGACTACCAAGGTTCAATGGGCAATACTCTGGGTGGTGGAAAACATGACTTTATCATGGTTGAAGATTCTGAGTTGTGGGATGTCATATGTGATGGTCCCTATATCCCAACAAAGAACGCCGAAGATCTTCTACTGACGATGCCAAAGACCAGAAAAGAATACACTGACGCAGACATGAAAGCTGTGGAGAAAACTTTTCGTGCCAAGAAAATTTTGGTATGTGGAATAGGACCTGATCAATACAATTGGATCTCTGCCTCTGAAACTGCCAATGAGATATGGGAAGCTTTGCAAACAACACATGAGGGAACCACTCAAGTAAAGCAATTGAAGATTGATATACTCACCATTGTGTATGAACTCTTTAGGATGAAGAACGATGAATCTATTGCAATAAGATGGGCAACCCCAACTTATTGCTTTTTGGCTTAAAAGTTATTTCTGCTGAAAAGCCAGTTTTTTTAAGCCAATCCAAACGGGCTCTATAACTCTATGCTAGTCTAGTCTCAAGTTGTAACGTAAAATAAGGAATTTAATAGGTAAGGAACAACTCAAATGGTACAGTCATAGCATGGCGTGAACCTATGTCTACCCGAGCATATTATGAATCTAGCTACGCATGGACTCTCATCACCTCGTGCATACTAGCTCCCGCAATAACTAACACATAATAGATACATCGCCTAGGGTTAGTTTCCCCCTCACACGATTAGACAGGAAACTTACCTTGCTCCGAAGATGCATTACTGGCTCCAATGCCTCTCTAACTCTTCAATTCAAAGCCAAACGATTCGGGACTAGTCAAACAATGTGTAGCTCAATCAAAATATACTCCAATGCTTATCATTAATCAATTTATAGAAACTCCTAAATCCGCGTGAAAAGTCAACAAACTCAACTCACGGGCCCACTGTTGCGGCCAAACACAAACGCAAGTATACGCGGTTGTCAATTAATAAAGTGACTAAAAGTAGGATGTCGAACCCACGAGGACTTGTGATTAACTATTAACTAAATTAGACTATCCTAATTATCTAAACAAGGATTAAACCCAAAAGTAGTGATGCTAAAGTGATTAAACTAAAAAGAATATAACTAATGAACTTTAAACAGAGGAAGAGCAGATTTTTATATTATCAATGTGATAATAAAGATCTAGGGTTATAAGCTATCTAACATTCCTGTTGTATTCTTCAATTGAATTGACTAAACAATTTATCTAGTTTATTGGTTAACATGGTTAATATTGCTCGTAAGAATCTGTCGAGTTCTTACCCACCTATTCAAGCTAACCTAACGCCTATGTGTCTATGGAATTAGAACTAATAAGAACGCATTTATAATTCATATAAATCAACCAACCAAGGTAATTCGATATATGACTATCCTAACTGCGAATTTGTTCCCCGACGCTCAAGTTCAAGAACTTGCTCTACTCAATCCTATATGCAATCTAGAATTTCCACTTTCGAATTGAACTCTAGATTCGTAGATAATATTCAATTGGTGATCAAACAATTAAATAATTGATTGAATAAATAAACCAATATGATAAATCAAGAAGGCAAAATCAATATCCGAATAAGAATAATCATAAAAGAACCATAACCCTAGAACGTAAACTTTAGCTCCACATAGATATGGTAGCCGAACAACAAATCATACAAAGAAGCATAAAAATTACAAAGTTTGGTGGAAGAAATGATGAAACCCGGCATCCATGGTAGCTCTATGATCTCCCTTGGTCAAAAGTTACTCTCAAAACGTCCCTCTCCCTCCTAAAAATTGGTGTTTAATGACTATTTATACGTGTGAGGTAAAATAAGTGAAACAACCAAGTCCAACACCAAAAAGTAGACAAATATACTTGAAACATGGACCATGCATCGCCTCGTGACAGACCTCGCGGCGCGAGCTTCACCGTGAGAAGAATTGTTCGCGCCACCTGCTACCGCTGCTTCATATCAATTTTTGTCAAACACATTTTTTTGTCTTTCTTTCTTTCTTTCACCTTTGCATTGTTTCTTTAATCAATAATTCCCTTCTTTTTTTCAATTTGTTCTTTGTCTTCTTTTGGTTGGTCTTCAAACATTGCACAATTATACATTATAATATTTTCCGTCATCAAATAATCATTCTTGTAGTATATAAGATACACATAAAATCTCTACTTTTGTCCCAATTTCGTCTTCAACGTACCTACACATAAAATAACTCAATTAAGCACGAATATAGTATAGTTTAGTATTAAATCATCAAAATGTAAGATAATTAATGCACTAAAAATATGTAATTATAGCCAAATATCACTACCCCACACTTAAACGTTGCTCATCCTCGAGTCAACTAACGATTCACACTATTCTTGGGCACATTATATTTACACATTTAAAATACACTACATCAATGATCTTCCCTTTAAACTCTAGCATATGCAGTCACTTATGCTTCCCTTTACTTATGCCATTCTTTAAAATAATTTACAACAAAGACAACATGCTCAAAACAATTCTAGCATCAAAAACCGACTCAATGTCACAATGCATTCATTGCTTGAACACCCAACATCATAGAGAAATGTAATAACATTACCTATCCCTCATGAGACCATGTTCCCTCACAACAAGAACAAGAGATCAAGTTAAATCCACACATTCGAATCTCATGATCAAGTATATTTTAATGACTCATATATATATAAAAAAATCGCTCATGTATTGCAAAGCATGCCTATGCATCTATTATCAGCTGTAAACCCTCCAAATTATGTGATAAATAGGTTGCACAAATTGTTTGCTCAGTTTTTCTGGAGCAGCTCTGTAGGAGGAACTAGTAGGCATTGGGCTTCATGGAATACCTTATGCATGCCAGTTGAGGAAGGAGGAATAGGTTCCAGGTCACTGCATGATGTAGCAAAGGCATTATTCAGCAAGTTGTGGTGGAATTTCAGAACAAAACCAAGCCTATGGAGCTCTTTCGTATGTCAGAAATACTGTAAAAAATTGAATTCGGTAATTGTTCCATGGAAAAGGGGGTCTCACATTTGGAGAAAAATGTTGGAATGTAGAGATCTGATTGAACATCAAATCTTTTGGCAAACAAAAAGGGGATCCTCACTATTTTGGTTTGAAAACTGGACAGGTCTTGGGGCACTATATTTTTTAGTTCCTCAGGACTTTGGCATTGATGAAACTGTACAAAATGTACATGATGTTACCTTAGATGGTGAGTGGGATGTGGACATGCTATTTGAACTGCTTCCTGAAGACTTAGCAGTACACATTCTGGAGAAAATCAAACCACCTTCACCTCTACAAGTTCTTGACATGCCTTGTTGGATGCTAGAAACAAGAGGATATTTCAGTGTTAAGTGTCACACCTCCTTTTTCCGACCTCCGCAAAGGGTGTAGGAGTTTTTTCCAATTAAAGGACAATCGAAACGGGATTTATTTATTTATTTCAGAGTCGCCACTTGGGAGATTTACTAAAAATTAAATAATTTAACCTTAACTAACCTTGTTTTAATTCAAATCCTGTCCTAATATTTGATTCGCAAAATTAATTCATGTTTTAACTGAATTTAGGTACATGATTCCAATTAACTTAACGGTGGCAATACCAAAACCCTTATGAATAAGGAACTTAATCAATTTTGCCAAACTGATTTAATAAAGCCATTTTTACGTTATTTTCTTCTATTTTAATTATTTGACAGTTTAA